GGCGCTGGGCGCTACGTAACCGGTGTATCTTATCGGGGCTACCTCGTTGCAACGCGAGAATGAATACGTAAATCGCGCGGTAAATAATAGTGGCAACGAGACGAGAAAAGGTCGCGCATAATCGAGACACCGGCACCGGGAGAGATTGACACGTGAACGGTTCGCCGGAGGCCATAAATCCTGGTAAAATGCCGGTCGTCGAACGCGTCGGGAATACGTTTCCTCCGGCGTCGATTTCCCAGCCAGTAATTTCGGAAAACGCTGTTATCCTCATTCATTTTCTTCGACCACGATCGGTTGTACGCGAGGTTTCGTAACCGGCTGACTAACGCCGCGGAATTTGTTTACGCGAAAACTTCGTTAGTCATTTGTACTTCGTTTTTATCAACCATTGACGCGTTTCGACTGCATTTTTGGACGGCTGAAAATTTACCGCGTTCGTCGGAGATACAGTTTTAACGGTGCCGACGAGGTTTGTTACTAAGAAGAACGCGATCCTTTTAATTCGAAATTCTTTTCTAAATGTGATTGTTATCGACAGACGGCGGATTTTTACGCAAGATAAAAATTTCCTCAGATCAATTGCAAATGAAATTATATATCAAGATGAACTCCATGTTTTCACGATCACAATGATTCGAAAATAGTGCGGCGGTGTTCTTAAATTGTGGTGTTCATAAAATGTTTGGACTATGAGAATTATTTCTTAATTAACCCCTTGAATTATGATTTCATTCACAACTGTGATGAGACTAGTATCCACTTTCGTACTTAGATTTTGTTGACAGAAGAATCAAATGTTTTCATTTCGAAGAAATGACTCGGTTAAATAACCAATCTTTCGAAATGATTTCAAAACATTTTGGTAACCCAAAAATCGATTTATTTGCTTTAGAGAGAAATGGCAAATGTAAAAAATTGTTTTCGTGTCGGGTGCTCAAGATTAACATCGATATTTATTGGATTATGTATGTAATTTTCATCACGAGTTTGACGAGGTGTGTTAAGAGAATAATTATTCGTATTCGAGAATCGTATCTTCGAGGTTCGATCTATCTTTTTTATTAAAATTAGAATGAAATCATTCATACTAATTTTGTAAATGTAGTTCTGATTTCAAAACTGACTAATTTTTCATTCTTTGAATTAATTTTTGGAACATTATAGCGTAGAATTCCATTCACCGTGATAACACTGCGAATTGTAATGTATTTATAGTAAAAACACATAAGCTACAATCTAAAACAGTGGACAAATCAATATATTTTAAGAATATTGATACATTATATTAGTTCTACTTTATTAAAATTATTAAAGATAGTCAGATATTTCTAGTTGACCCCAGTTTTGCACAGTTAGTGCAACAGTTTTTATTTTGCATAATGAACCATAAGAATAAATGATCCCTTTAATTTAGGTTATCGATCTCACTTTCACCCAATTTTCATGTAACAAGCGAACACATTATTAGTCGCCGAGGAAGTGCCAAAACAGTAATCTTGAGAAAGAAAGCAACAATTACGAAAATAAAAACAACGGTCTTCTAAATGAAAAAAAAACATGCGTGCTGTCTATTAGACAAAAAGACTGGTCAATTAAGAAACGAGGTAATTAAATGGTAATTCCGTCAATTAAGAAATTTAATTGCAATCTCAATAAAATTGATCGAAAGTTGCCATTGCAGGATCAGACATTTCATACGGAGCAGCGTAATAAGAATGTAAAAGCAGCAATAAATTTGCGATGAGGAGAGTGAAATCGCGTGCCGAGTTGTCCGCCAGTGCCATTTTGGATCCTCGAACGCGACGGGGTTAATATCCTGGCCCGGGCAAGGACGATTATGGGGTCGACCACGTGGCGCGCTCATTCTCGCGCTATATCTCATTCTTATCGGCGGAAAATTCGTCATCGATCCTCCCGAAAAAAGAGGAAGCCCTTCGGGGTTATGCCCGCACATGTGTACGCGCGTGTACACGCGTGTTGCGTGGCTCTGTGTGCGCCGAGCGTGAGCGGTGACTCATTGGCTGGCTACCAGTCACGTGTACGTGTTCCTCCACGTGTACGTGACTGCATTCGTTCGTATAACGATGCACGCACACAGAGGTCGACTTTACAGTGCCGTACGACACTGTTGGTTCGGGAAAGAGTGAGAGAAAAAATCGAGTTTATCATTTTGGTGAACTTGGAGCAGAAATTATCTACAATTTATTATTGAAAATTGTTCAGTGGACACCAGAGACAAGTGTATTCCACAGAATTTTCCTTCGACTCTGGCGGACTCGAGGCATTGAATTATCTTTTGTTGGATCAATCAGTAGATTAGGATTTGAATGCATTTCGTTGGTATTGACAAGTCGTTATAATCATTGGATAATTATTCTATTTGGTCCCTGTTTCATGCAACTAATATTTTGAGTAGTGATCAGCTACCAAACAGCATATTTTAGGTGCAGAGGCCAGATTGTGAATATTTAATCGAGTTCATATTTTTGCAAACGAATCAGAATTATCAAGAATTCCGTTTTGTTTATGAATGTATTTATTCAATGAAACATAGACCATCTTCCTTCAATTTTACTATAGTTTATGCAAGTAAATGCACAGCTTCTGAAGTCTATTCTTAATTCTGCATTTCGTGGAAGATTTTAATTACCGAACTATAAGATGCAAATGTTTCTTCACAGCTTCATGTATAGCGTAAAAAGTTTCTGGCTTTTCGAAGAGTTTCATCTCATTTCAACGAAGATAAAATTTCTTTTCTCTTACATACAGAAGATATGTAATCTTTCAAATTTCCAACATTTATTTTACAAAAGGAATAAAATACAGATAGTATACAGATGTCCTGTAAAGAATAGAAATCTTGGAAAATTACTTTTTTCTCTCCCAAGAATTCGAACAATTAAGATCACCGAAAATCAGGAAAAATTTTCCTGAACATACGCGTATACGGTACCCGAAATACGCTACCGGAAATGTCTGAGAGCTATTTTCGTTCACGTTCGAGAAAAACAGCAGAGCTACGATTAACAAACTGAAGCGAGATTGGATAAACTTATTGAAGTCGTCTGGACAGAATTGCTTTCCAGTTTAGCACCAGGTTACTTTGAACGTTCTGTTTATCTCGAGATTTATTAAAAGATCCACGGTGTAGACCCGCTAAGTGGCCACTAATTTTCGCCGCACGCGTGCGAAAAAATCTGCCAGGAGCTGACTGTTTAATGTTTAATGTCGTGTTCGCCCGATCGTTTGTCGTGGGAATTAGTAGCCACGATTTTCTGGTAATGCGAGACTTCTTCCGTCAACAGCGCCGAGTGGAAACGGGCTCTTGGTTTTCAGGCTCGTTATGCGAACGATGATCGACTGTCGGGATCGTTGACACTTTTGGCGGCGCGGCGGCACGACGATTCGGCATTCTTTCTCTTTCTGGTCTCCTTTGAATAATCTACTGTTACTACTAATATCACTAATATCACTATTAATTAATATTACTATCTGTTAATGTTACTATTCGTTAATATTACTATTAATTAATATTAATATGAGTTAATACTGCTATTAGCTAATATTATCAATAGTTAATGTTACTATTGATTAATATTATTTTTAGTTAATATTATTATTAGTTAATATTACGATTGGTTAATATTACTATTAGTAAATATTACTATTGGTTAATATTACTATTAGTTAATATTACTATTAGTTAATACTACTATTAACTATAATAACTATTATTATAATAACTATTAACTATTATTAGTTAATATTACTATTGTTTAATGTTATTATGATTTAATATTATTGTTGCTTGGTGTTACTATTATTTAATATAACAATCTATTTAATTAACATTCCGTACATTCTAAAACTAATGAATACTTAGAGTAATACTTAGAGTCACATTTTTAATGTTTACAATATTTATGATATTTATAATGTTTACAATT